TAGTAATCACCGTCAGCAGGTATGTTTTCATCAGATGGTAATGTTGGCAATCGTTCAGAGGTGTCTTCTGCTGCAGGAGCTAAACAATGCCAATGAAGCTGTTTCATTATGATAGCTGCTGCTTGACGTCACTGTTCACACTTCGAAAGTTGTCACAATATTGCTGAGTTATGGCAAAAACTCTTGGTCCCAGGCAAGACCTGAACACGCTCCTCATGCTTTCCGGTCGAGTGCGCTATCCGTTACGCCACCAGAGCTCCGCCTCCCAGTTTGACGGCTTTTAGTCCGTAGCCTTACAACACCTACACTCCAACGCGATGAGCCGCTCAGCCGCATTGTTAGATTTCGGCAGTGAGCCAAGAATGAAGAATTTACAATTCTCACCACCATGTCAGTGCTGTAAGGCTACGGCATAAAAGCTGTTAAGTTGAAGGTGCAGGCGACCATTGTGGCGTAGCGTTTAGCGCACTCGACCGGAAATCGGTGAGATGCGGATACAAGTCTCGATCTGGGGTCAAGACTTTTCCCATTACAGCAAGTCTTATGATATGCCAATGGAGTTTATCGAACATGAAAAATGGATTTACAAAAACCTTCTGAACATTCAGGAGCAATTGCTACAGGCGCAGCTTCGTCTGAACATTCAAGAGTAGTATCTACAGGTGCAGCTTCCTCTGAACATTCAGGAGCGATAGCTTCAGGCACAGCTTCCTTGGGTGGGCTGGGTGGTTCTGGCTCACTTTCGATCTTGGGTTCCTCTGGGACCACCGACTCTGCAACAGAAAGTGACTAGCTAACCCGTCAACAAGAAACTGAACTCTCAGGCTGTTGAAGAAAGAGTTTTTTTTAAGAAAGACCATACAATAAGGAGCATGAGTAAATAAAAACGATTTGGCGAACCTTCAGGAATTTGTACGAAGGAATTAGAAACTTTATCATAAGCGTAGTAATCGCCAAAAAATTCAGCACAATCCTTCCGAGCGCAGCAGTAACGCCAAATGAAGGCTCCATAGTTGGAATCGACCAGCTGCAATAAGTCAGGGTATAGATAGAGGCAAAAGCATACTTTAAACGACTGACACGAAATTCATACCTTTTCAAATTTTCTGTAGTGTATGAATTGAGGATCTTCATTCGAACCACATTTCGGACAAAGCCCACCGTCATCAGTCTGCGTATCTAAAATCTTATCTCTTCTACCCTACCTTGCTCACGTCTTGGAAAAAACACATATGCAACGACATGAATCTATAGGAAAAAATACTGATGACTTTACCGTTTGAAGATCCGCCGGCGGTGTCTTCACCGTTGACCTCTTCGCTTACACCAGGTTCAGTCTGCAACTTTCAGGTTACTCTCATCATACGAGACTGGAGCTACAGTCTCAAGGAAAACCAAGTCACTGACCTCTCCCACAGGTGAAGCCTCACTGCTGCTCGTACTGGAATTACGCATTGCGTTAGCCACCTGCTCTTCTGTTGGTTCCTCGCAATCAAAGCAGATGATGTCGTCACAGCTGGTTTCTGACTGTTCCACTTCCTGCTCTGCTGAACAGGGTGCGAGCAGTTCCGGATGGCTCTGAGCCTAGACAATGGGATTAAACGGATTTTTAAAAGGGTCACCAATGGGACAGTTGGCAAACGGGAGTATTTTTGAAAGTTCACATATCGAGGCATATAAATGACCGCTATCGGCCTACTACAGCATCTTGTGCGTCACACTTGGGAACTTTCCGTTAAGAGCCCCAACTATATCGGCATCTACATCTAAGGCGAAAACTCCCTTAACAACCCGCGCATTCCTCGCATCGACACGAACACTTCACCCATCCCCGTAGCGACTTATATGTTTCTTGTGTCTACTACAAAATGATCAGATTATCTAAGAAGAATTGCGTTTGTTTTCACGTTTGGACGACCCAAACCAAAGTTTGTTTAGTTATATAGAGTATATGATTAAAGATAAAAGCGCTTCAAAATAGTAAGAAACGACCTTCTGCACCACGCTATAAGTTTTGACGTAACACTCTCTAGTTACATTATCCTGGCTCAGGTGGAGCACTAAGGACTACTGCTCTGATAGATTAGCTGGTACAAATGTTCATCTATGCGAATATGGAGACGTAAGTTTTCAAGCTACGATGCAATCAATCGATACATCGATCAATATCCCATTGGTTTTAAGCATTGGCTCCATGTACACCCAACAAGATGTTCGACTTGAGTCGTACTGAGACCACTCAGTTCAACTCAATTTTGGTATCACTTTCCGGCTTTGTAGGATTCGCTTTCCTCTTGACATATGTATGGACAAAAATAGGGAAACGGTAGGTCTACTGTTGTGTAAGTACGTACTTATCTCGGAATCGGGTCGACCAATCGATTATCGATTTTCAGGATAGACAATCGCATCGGAGCGATCATCGGTGTTATGATATGCGTTGGATTTCTATTCACCACCTACTCATGGTGGTTCTACAGCGAAAACATTGAACATGACGGTAAACATTGTCCTTCCTTTAATCAATCGATATCATGTCGTTTTCAACCGCAGATTACCTTATATATGAGAAGCCGATATTCGCTGGTTTTTCCTTGGTGCTGACGCTGCACACTCCCTCACACTGGCTGTGTAAGTCATAAGAGGTCACCACGCGATATCGCGCACTCTTTGCACGCGGCGTGTGACAATCGATATATGTTTTATTTTTCACAATTCCTAACGTGCCGCTTCTGCGTCTCCACGGGTTCCAGTGGCAGTGAACGCCTTGAACCTATTGCTACGGACCCAACCAAACCACATCATCGTTGTGGAATCTATGAGGGAGGGAGGGAGGAGGTCCTATCTGGTCACCATGGAGGACAGCTGGTCGGATTTTGTTTCTATAAGATTTTTTGAGCGTTTATCGTCCTTATTTCGAGCGGCCTCCATACCTAGTGCTCGACAGAGTGTTTGGGGGGGGGGTATGTATAAAGATGGAAATTCCTATATACCATCTTGCGCCACACGCACGCCCAAAGATGCGCGCCGTCGCATGGCGACCTCGCGCGACGTCTCATAGTGACCTCGAGCGACGTTGCATGGTAGTCTTATGCTAGAGACTCCTGCACATGCCTCATTCATTCCGCCTAATTTTAGGATGCCATTCACCATGGTGTGCTACTACTCCAAAAATACCTTGGGAACTCTATGCTGCCTCGTACGTGATCGTATTTGGTGTTGGATTCGCTATGATGAACGTGCATTTAGCCTCGATGTATTCAGGGGTATGTTTCTCTATTCATTCGATTCATCGTTTCATTAGCATTCCGAAGTTCCATGGATCCTCCAACTTCAGCCGTTTGATTATAAGGAAACATGCCCAATAAAATGTCGGGATGCGCCGCGTAGTCGTCTTCGTGGCCTTAAGCCTGCCACTGAGTGAAGGTCAGAAAATCTGGGTTACGGCGACACGCGAAAACTCTGCGCGCTGCACTTCCTAGCTAGTTGATTCAGCTTACTGTAGCTTTTCCGCGTCCAGTCAATCAAGTCCTGACGCGAATGCTGCGTTAGACGCCTTGCATGCCGTAGTCGTCTTCGCGCCGCCGCCCGCCTTCCCCCTCCCCACCTCACCCTCTGGGATATGAATTTGGACCATGTTTCTGCCTTTTCAACGACGGGATTTCGCACTCCCAATGCCGAAACAACATCAAGCCCATCTTAGGTATAACCTGCTAAAATTATAGAGGCGCAGTGTCACAGGACATGCTGAGTTTATGCAATAAACGTTCTTGGGAAGCCGAGGGGACTGATAACGACAGGCATCGTTGTTGGGAACGAACCCCCAACGAGGGCCTCACGAATGCTGTAAAAAGGGGTGGGTCGTGCTTGCTCATTGTTGGGAGGGGGGGGGTCGTACTTGCTCATTGTCGGGAAGGTGGGGGTCGTATTTACTTTTTGGCCTTCTAGGAGTGCTGGTTGACTTTTCATGATTTTCCTGTTTCATGTGTTTTCAAGTGCACTACATACCCTCCCCCCAATCGACAGCAAAATTTTTGAGAAAAAGAAAGGAAGTTTTCGGGAATTTCGGAAAAACAGTGGCAGTAAAAGTTGGGGGAAAATCTGACTACTTGAGTATAGGAACCCCCCTCCCCCATAAAAAAAAGGGGGAGGTCGTACGGACTCGACTAAAATGCCCCACAAAGATCTGCCCTGCTGAAGCACGCCCGCGACCTTCAGCTTTATCAGCGCGAGTTGCGTTAATCGCTTAACCAGTCGCCCGCCTCGGTCACCCGGCGCGGCCGTCCTTCTGATACGGCCCGGCTGCGCCGGGCGGGCGCGGCTTCGCCGCGCGTGCTTTCTTTCACATATTTCTAGATTCAACTGATATCCCCTTTTGTTCTGTACTCCACTTTTTTCCGGTGTCTGAAGTACTCTTGAGCTATTTTACAGATTCTTCGTCTGACTCCGCCCACCTCGGAGCAGGCCCCGCCCACAATGTTTGTGCCCCACAATCCTCACCGGCGACCCTCTGCTGGACCTGGCTGAATTCCAATTCTTTATTCCGGTCTTCGGAAGTGCGCTGGAACCGTTTCGCTAGTCCTTTTTTTACTGGCTCCGCCCACCTAGGAGCAGGCTCCGCCCACAATGTTTTTGCCCCACAGTCCTCACCGGCGACCCTCTGCTGACCTTAGTCCACTTTTTCCGGTCTTCGGAGTGCTCTGGAACCGTTTTACAGACCTTTTTGTCTGGCTCCGCCCACCTCGGAGCAGGCTCCGCCCACAGTGTTTTGCCCCACAGTCCTCAGGTGCGAACCGACGACCCTCTGCTGACCTTAATCCACTTTTTTTCCGGTGTGTGGTGTGTTCTGGAACCGTTCTAGAGAATTTTTGTCCGGCTCCGCCCACCTCGAGGCAGACTCCGCCCCCAATTTTTGCGCCCACATTTTTCACCGACGACCCTCTGCTGACCTTAATCCACTTTTTTCCGGTGTGTGGTGTGTTCTGGAACCGTTCTAGAGAATTTTTGTCCGGCTCCGCCCACCTCGAGGCAGACTCCGCCCCCAATTTTTGTGCCCCACATTTTTCACCGACGACCCTCTGCTGAACTTAATCCACTTTTTTCCGGTATCTGGAGTGTTCTGGAACCCGGGCTGTGCAAAACTTTTAAAATGAATACCTGCGATTTAGGGCAAGCTCCGCCCACTGTGGGCGGTCTCAACACACTTTGAGCGTGCCCTATATTCGCCGGATATTTACATTCTACACTGAGTTTTTTGCGACTTCCAAACACTCTCGCGAACCGGGTTACTGAATTTTGCGAGAAGCACCGCCCACCTTGAGTACGCCCCGCCCATTTAGGGTGTACCTGCCACAGTTAGTCTGGCGACTCCTTACTAACCTTAGTCCCTTTTTCCCCATCTTTAAGCTGCTCCGGAAGCGAATTATGAACATTTTTCTGCGGAACCCCAAACTTTCGGCGAGTGCCCCGCCCACTGTGGGCGGGGCTTGCCATAGGTCAAGTGTGCTTTTTATTTCTTGTCCCATGCCCTACCTATCCCCACCTTGACTGGACCTCTCCAAGTCGTTCTTCAGGTCGAACCGAATTTCCGGACAGACAAACTTACAAACTTACAAACTACAAACAAAACAAACAAACAAACAGACATGAGACAAAGCGAATTATATATATGGAGGTGATGGCTCTGCGCGATCTCATACAGTCCATCATCGATGAGTTCATTGAGCCGCTCCACAGCCACTCCAAATTTCTGAGCCACTAAAAGATTCACAAAGATGATTCAAACTGCCCGTTCTTTAGGTGTTGGGACCCCGACGACAAGGCACAATGCACGGTATTAACACCCTTCTGGCCAGTTGTAGCCGAGTTCTAGGGCCCGTAGCGGTCACGTGAGTTTTCCTCATTGCAGCCTTGATTAATTGGTTCAATCTTTGATTGTAAATTACTTCAGTGATATGTTCGGCTATTTCGGCCCACGAGTCGTCTGGCTGTTTCAACTTGGAGTTTGGGGTGTACTGCTCGCCGCTATTGCTGCTTGCTACAAGCGACTTGTTCCTTTGGACGTACCACAACAGCAGCAGGACGAGTCGGATGCTGATGATGAAGTCAAAAAGCCAATTGATGAAGATCTATAAGCTCCCATCAAATTTGTCCCTTTGTCTGGCCTGAAGAAAGCATTGAAGAAATACTTCCCAGAAGGTAGACATAACACCGTACGTTCAGCTGCAGTCACTTTGTTCAAAGAGGATCGGTACAAACCACGCCCACTTTGGGAGGGGTTGCCGCTTGTACTATTGTGCACAGTGCTCAGATGAACCCAAGATGGGTTCATTACGCGTAGTCCCTTGGTAACCGCGGTTACATTTCGAGCATTCTAGGCTTTTTCAATTATCACTTATGGATGTCATACGATTGTTCTACTCACCCTGACCACGACCGGAATAAGAACGAAAATAATTCCTCCTGTATTTTATGGAATAAATGGCGCAACTGAAGTTCAAAGGGCGGGGTGACAGACGGCGGCCCATCTCATTCACAGGCTCTGGTCGGCTGTGTTCATCGCTTCTGAGGAAGAAGGCGCAGAAAAGCTTTGTTTCGTTGTCTTCTGCCCCCTCCCCTAGCTGCAGTTGCGCCAAATAATTGCTGTCTTCGGCAGTAATTTTGTAAACACTCAGTTTTCCTATTTGTATGCTTTTGTATTTCATTTTTG